CGATTTGATCCCACGACCTGCGGATCAGCTGCCGAGTACCTTAGCCACTAGACCACCACGGCGGGGTGAAATGTATCAAAAAGGCGAGCTTTTATGAAGTGGCGCTGTGCAGCAATGGTTACGGTAAATGCTTTCAATATATGTCGTCACGAGTATTCGTCCAGTGCTCCGCATAACTTGCATGATATAGATACTTTTAGTTGGGCTTACGTAACGAGTGCACGTAGGCAGCCCTGCCACGGGAGAAAACAGCGCATGTGCAGTACGTATCGTATTGATTACAGAGATGCGCGCGTACGCCCGAAACAAGATGCTGCGTACGTAACGCAACGCTTACTACGTTACGTTCTCGCGAGACGTTGAAGAAATCAGAGCGATAGTATATATGGTGGCAGCAGTGACGTTCCACGCAGACAGCAACAGGGGACCTGATGCAACGCAAGTGTGCTCCACAATGAAAGGTGATATTTTCGTGTAAGACTACGTAAAATCAAGCGGCTCGTTCCGGCATCCTGCTTATTCAGATGATACTGCCTGGCGTCTCACAAAAATCTACAAGAATCGCCTTCGATAGATTGTGTGCGGGAACGCGTCTTTTTCTGCCAAACCTCTTGGCGAATGAACCCGTAAATAAAATGCCAGCGTGATACGTACTTTTATTCATGGTGCAACACAGCACGCCTTGGACGTTGTGCGAGCTTTTACTCAAATGTGTCGGTAGATATCGTAATGTCATGAATACCTGAAACGCGACCACTTGCTGAAGGGTACGCTAAGCTTCAATCACAGCAGCACTGGATAGAACGCTGGGGTCGATCTAATGTGGCTTTGCCCAATCAGACACAATGCACAGCCAAGTTTAAACAATAAAGATTCAGTGCACGTTCACCAGAGCGCTGTGTGTGTTTGATGCCTGGGTGTGTGCTTGTGTGAGTGATCGTGTCGTGTGTTCGCGCTCGAATTAACTTTTAGAAGTGCACCTATACTCGGCAACAGCTTTTCTTGGCACTGAAGAGAAAGCTACGAAGCCACATCGCGTGCTTCCTACCGGCAAGGAAGGTAGTTCCAACTTGGCGCCGTAATTTCCAACGTGAGTTATGTATGTACCTTCTTTATTTTCTACGTGGAGCTCTTTGAGACTGGACGCAGCTCACACCAGTAATATATTCTTGTTTATTTTTAATTTATCTGTTGTGTGTTCGCGTTTTTGAACGCGTGAGAAAGTCCGGCCTTTTCACGTGCACCTTAAACGCCAAGCGGCGTCTGCGTCTACACGAAATGCTGATGGTGTGCCCCCGTCACTTTCCACAGCGTTACGAGACGCGCGCCAAAACGAATTACTTCGCGTAGTGCTACAAGTGCAGAAGCTGCTCCTCCGTAGCTTTCCCTTCAATGCCTAGAAAAATTGTCGCCGAGTATAGGAACGATGCTAAAAAATTGGCAGATCCCACGTACAGTGGGAATCAATGATATGCGAAGCATGAATGAGAAATGTTGATATGTCACGTTAAAATCAGCACAACGTTACAAGGTGGAAGTGATAAATGCCGTACACAACTTCTGTGTCATGATAATCATGTTTGGATATGTCGTTTACCTTCGTCATCTATTCACGTCGCGTAACACTAAATTTGGAATATGTGGACCTAGCAAAACAGCCACGAGTGCATCATGATGGGCCCAATATACTCCAATGTAACGTTTACGAGCGCACACGCTGGGCACAGTGACACTACGTTAGCAAAACGCGAGCACTCTATAGTGTGATGCTAGGTGCGGCTAGGGTGCGTCGGCGGGGCCCGACGGCAACTGACGTGAAATGTGGCATGCTGCATTTCGCGGCGATGCTATGGGGTAGCATTACTATACGCCGATGCGTTACCGTTACAACACTTCGTCTCCCTCTTTTCATGACGGAGGGACGCCGGACATGCTGAAACACGTATGCGTCAGAGCAACACAGCGCGGCCCGCACCTGGTGTGATAACGCTGGCGTGACGCGACAAAATAAACAGCGGCAAGCACGCGCACCGCGTCATGTCGATATGTATTGGTGGCTTGACTCCAGCATGTAGTCTTTTTCTCATATGACACGCATCTCATGATTATTATGTTTGCGTTAGTCACATACTTTCATCATCCATTGGCGTCCCGTAATACCAAACTTACCAAACTTGGCATATGTGAATCTAGCGAAACGACCGCGAGCGCATCATAAGTGCGGCATGTTGTAATGTTGTTACATGACACGCATGTTATGATTATCATGTTTGGATGTGTCATTTACCGATGTTGTCCATTCGCGTCGCATAATACCGAGTTTCGTACGTGTTAATCTAGCGAAACGGTCACGAGCGCATCATGAGCGTAGCATGAAGTCATGTTGTTACATGACATGGATCTCATGTTTATCATGTTTGCGCAAGTATGATACCTTCGTCATCCATGCACGTCTTGCAATATCAAATTTGGTATAAGTGAAGCTAGCGAAACGGCCACCAGCGCATCAGGAGCATGGCTGTAGTCATGTTGTTATATGACGTGCAATCTGTGATTATCATGTTTGCACCAGTCACATACTTTCGTCATATATTCACGTACCGTAATACCAAATTTGGTATGAGTGGTGCTAGCGAAATGGCCGCGAGTGCAACATGAATACATATGTTGTTACATGACACGCATTTCATTATTTTCATGATAGGGTCTGTCACTTGTGTTCACCATGGAGTCATATCATACTATACCAGTTTTGCAACATGTCATGTGAACGGGACCACTGCAAGCGAAGCAAGACTATGAAATGTAAATAATGACAATAATGGCATACATGTAATGATTTTTATGTTATGACCTGTGAAATATGCTCGTCATACATTGATGTTATGCCGCAACAAGTTTGGTATCAATGCCACTATCCAAACGGCCCGGAGAGCTAAATGTTGTAGACGGCTAGATAGATAGATAGATAGATAGATAGATAGATAGATAGATAGATAGATACGTTCAAAGTCACAGAAGTCGCTAAGAAATGCTTCGCCTTTAATATGTTTTTCATACAGTCATGTTATGCCATACCAAGTTTGGTGTCAATACCATTATCGAAACGGCCAGGACAGCTAAAATTCGTAGGCGGCTAGATAGATAGACAGATAGATAGATAGATAGATAGATAGATAGATAGATAGATAGATAGATAGATAGATAGCTCAAATTCGCTGAAGTTCACTAAGAAATGCTTCGCATTTAAAATATTCACGGCGAACGCCATGACATGGCTTGTACACTGGTGGTCCTCACCCTGACCGTCAAAATGCTTTTCGCGCATATCAAAGGGGCCACGTTAATACTGAAACCTAGCTCACTTCTGGCGTGGGTAGCGCTGATAAGCATTCCAAACCCTTGCATATCGAATACGACTCATCTTCTTGAGTTAAACACATCAAGGTACGTTATGTTGAATTCTGATTGCAGATCGCGAGAGCTAGGCCTGAATGCCAATGGAGCTCACTGATCCGAGCGGGATTGCGCTTGCCAAATCAGCGATTGGAACGCACGCGTCTCGATGGGAGCTGTTGGTGAGTGGATATCTAGCGAGGGAGCACGAGAGGGTGCGAGGGAGCGCGAAGCGTTTTCCGGACATCCATCGGCGTTGCGATGAATGGCGGGCCCACAGATTAGATCACTTGAACTTCCGGCCAAATCCGCTAATTTTGGCGGAGTGAAAATTTTTGCTCCATGGAGCAATCCGTCATTTGTGGTTGGTCTTCATCTGCCATTGCAACACAAAATTCACGCTACCCATCCGCCATTAGATTGTGATTGGTCCGCTCAGAGCAGAAAAAATTTGATCTGGATTTACCATTTGAATTCAGCATTAAACTAAAGGTGTCGTTTCACGCCTCACTTGGAGCGTACGCAACGTTATTTTCACAGCGTACGCATCTTCCCCGTACGCCCAACTAAAAGTGTCTAATAGGTACGTTTAGATTAATGTTCGCAGGCTTTACGGGCATTGCATTAGAGTCGGGCGTCATATGAGTTTTGGGAAAGCATTTGCTTCGCTTAGGAATAAGTCAATGAACTTTTGCCCCGATGGCAAACCCAAATGCCGAGAAGACGCAAACACCACTTTGCGGGCCTCATGGGCTGTGATTGCCACGCGCTATTATGGTATTTCTGCAGCAGGCCGCAAGCGCGAATGGCGCCTTGGCACCACTGCGCATGCACGAAGCGCGAATGGCACCACTGCGCAAGCACGAAGCATGCGCAGTGGTGGTCACCTGTGTGGAATTATAAATTCCCCTATTGTCATAGATGTGTATGAATGCATTACTTTTCCTCTGCTAGTCATGCGCAGCGATACCCGAAACTGGCTAGAAAACGCTGTGACAACAACAAAAACTTATTTTTGTTTCGCAACTGCTTCAGGGCCGCCTATAGAGAAGCCGCCTACAGGGCCATCACGCGTTAACCGCAGGCCGTACATGGCCGGAAAAATTTGGCTTAGAATGCCGGCTAAGCGTCGCCATGGTTCTGCTCAAGGCCCAATAAAATAGGCCGCTTCCTCAGAAACAGGGCTTTGAAGCCGGGTAACAAACTAACTATATAGATTGATTGATATGTGGGGTTTAACGTCCGAAAACCACTATATGATTATGAGAGACGCTGTAGTGGAGGGCTCCGGAAATTTAGACCACCTGGGGTTCTTTAACGTGCACCCAAATCTGAGCACACGGGCCTACAACATTTCCGCCTCCATCGGAAATGCAGCCGCCGCAGCCGGGATTTGAACCCGTGCCCTGCGGGTCAGCAGCCGAGTACCTTAGCCACTAGACCACCACGGCGGGGCAAAACTAACTATATAGAAGCGACTATGATTTGAGGAGATATACTGCCTGCAGGAGTGTATTACAGCCAGGATTTGACTGGGAGTCTACAGCAGCAACTCCATCGAAATCTCACATAAAACAAGCTTCGTGAGAAAAAGCAGAGCTTACCACGATATCAATCTTTCCAAAGTGTTCAGCTGTTTCTTTAATAATGGCCGACACTTCCTCTGTATTACGAATGTCAGCCGTCTTTACCAGCACCTAAAAAGAAAGATGTATAAGGCTTCAGATCTGGGCTGCGGAGGTCGTCATTCTAGCACGACAAACCTATCTGCGTAGCTTTTGCGCCATATTGTCAGTGAAATACAGCACAACATGGTGATTTTAGCCCTACAAAAAACGTACACATGTGAAAGACAAAGTACAGTCGGTCTTCTGTCTATCACATGCGTACGTCTATTGTGGCGCTAAAAGCAGCATGTTTTGTAATTACCAAATCGTCCAACATGCTCTTTTAACGCAAGAAAAATGTCCATAAAAGTACCAAGGGTCGCACGCACACCAACCTACATTCGATGTTTATGTCCGTTCATTCCTAAAGGTCAGGTACACTAAAATTATGCGGCAATTCAACGGATATGTTGCTCCATGCATAAGCAATAATTTTTGGCTATTAACGGTGCTCACGAATTTTAGTTTTGTCCACAACAGTGGATGTTATTCCAATGAATTCTAGAATCACGTTACAGCGTCTACATTTTACCTAAAACATTTTCATATGATGTAATGCAAATTTATTGTTGAAAAAATAGCAAAGTTCTTCTTCATACGCGAGGGCCGATCAAAGAAGAGGCCTCATTACAATCCCAAAAAGATGTTTAGCGTCTGCATAACGTTTTATAGACTACCTAAAAAAGTCTGAACTCCTCGTGGTCCCGAAAGTGTTAGAGGCGCTCACTACCAAAATATTTTTGAAGAAACAAGTTAGGTAATTTACGGCAAAAAACTTCAATTGTACATACAGCGGGTCCCACAAAATAATATACCATGAAGAACTTACATTCATACGAAATATTTTTTTAAATGCCTTCTGTGCCGATCAGAGGCTTGAGACAGGGCGCGCTTGGTGCTTCATCCGCAGATGAAAGCTTTCTATCGGCCTTCACTTTATTGCCGCCACAATTAAATCAAATTCCACGCCCCTCCTCCCCCCCCCCAAAAAAAAAGAAGCGTGCTGGCTATGAACATCAGCATCGCGTCTTGCGCACTGTTTTAAGCAGATACAATTACGTCTTCACTGGTGAGCAATCGACAGGCAAGTAATGAGGGTTCACTAGAAGTCGAGCGAAATATAGACGACAGTTTGTGAGCAGCAAACAAATGCTGTCATCGCCAAGATATTGCGACTGCGTGCTCACGCGTGATCGCTTGTACGAACGGTAGCCACTGCGATAGCGTAAACAAACAGTGAGTGTAAAAGAAAAGAAGCTATTACAGTTCGGAAAAAAATTCATGGTATCCGCAAAAGGCACCGGCATTGGCTTGATCTGTTAGGAGAAGTCGAAGTAGTTGCACGATTTTTCAATACAAAGGTCACCAAAAACACACACAAAAAACGCGTGAAGTTAACCAATTGCGACCAGTTCGCACCATCGCATATTATTGTATTTGACCCCGAACGCACATAAATCTTTTTGAACGACTCAAAGGCTCATTTCCTACACTTACTGCTGAAGTAGAATTCACTGCGCCAGAATGATAACTGACTGCAACTGCAACCGAACAAATGCCTTCTATAGAAACGCAAAGTACGCACACGTAGTACACTGTAGCACATTGCAATGGGCTGCCCGACCATGGACGGCACCGCCACTAGACAATATGGTGGCGCTCACGTTAAAAACGTTCTTGGTGGCTCACTCGCTTGCGTGAGAAAATTGGATACGTTTTCTTTTTTTACTCTATTCAACAAGAGTTGTAGCACCTTGAGTGCTCATTCACACAGGCGTCAAACGACCAGTCGCGTCACCGTAACGCAAAAATAAGATGTTGAGCAGACGTGACGTAGCTGTGTAGGTGTAGGAATGAAATCAATTTTCGGTAAATCAAATCAGCGATTGTTGTTATAATGTCACTCTAAACAAAAAGAAACGGTTAATAGTGTTTAGTGTAAAGCATGAAATTTCATGGTGTTGATTAGCGCAAGTGGCAACATTGCCGTCATATGTCAGTGACCCGGTCATTCTACTCCCGCGTACTTTTGTGCTTCCACGCTTTCTTCCATTCGCCAGGTGTGCCGAAGGGGAACCAGCACTAATACGATGACAGGTGGCTCTCTGTCCCCATTCCGGCAACAGAAACGTAGAGCATCGCTGAACTTCGCCGTCAGCCCGTTTATAAAGTAAAAGCGGTTCAGCAATCCTCTATGCTGACGAAAACGGGTGCCATGACGATCACGGGACGGGAAGTTTGACGGCTTTGTGAATGACGCTTAAGCAATAAACCATCATCATGAATAGATCCCGCTACCAACTTCTCCTTGCACCGTGTCCGCTACTTACTTCCACTCCGTTTGACTTGCACTGCGCAGCCACTCTCTCCAAAGCATCAGTGTCCCTCGCTGTGAGGGAAAGAGAACACCCAAGTGTGGCGAAGTGCAAAGCGGTGGCTTCGCCGATGCCAGAAGACGCACCTGCGATGCCAGAACACTAAGTAGCCATCACCAGCAGCGGTAAAGTTGTCCCGTGGTAGACCAAAAATACCGCGTGCGCTACTCGAACACATCGTATCTCTTCTGCGGCTGTACCTCATGACATAGCGTCCCCGTCGCACGTCAAGCTCCGGTTCTCAGATACACCCGTAAAAAGTTTAGGTACTTGAGTCGCAGATGAAGTGGCGTACGCGGAGTGAAAAAAAGGAGAATGGTGGCTCGAGCGTGAAAAGGGCCTCAAGACACTGAAGCAGGGCCATGTATAGAGGTACAGCCACGTGCAATTTCCCGTTGTCGAGAAACTACTAAATCACAGAAACCGACCAAACAATAAAATAAAACATTACAAAAACACGTGAAAAACGCAAGGGAAGCACCAAAGAGCCGCATGCAGCTCCGCCCTGTCTGCAGAATTACACTGGGTACAACTGTGCCAAGTCTTGTTTTTTTTTCAGTTGTACTTTTTTTGGTTACAAGTTTAATATACCGTAAACAAGGTTAGGCGAATGAACATTATTGAATTCACATTTAAAATTGTTGCTTCGTGCGAGTTCTTTCTATGTTCGTCAGAAGCGCCACAGCAACATGGTCGAACTTCAGTAATCTCATCGCAGCATTGTTTTTTTGCAGAACTCGTTTTTTTTAAATTTTACTGCCCTCGAAATTAGTTGCAGGCCTGCCCGTGCACGCCCCACTGTGTTTGCGTGAGCTAGAAGAGCGGCCTCACATTTGCGCATTTCTCAACACTCAGCCAACGAGTTTCTTGAACCAGGACCGCCAATCATACTGAGCGACACATGGTATCAGACAGACCTACGGCGTAACTGTGCAACGGTGTAATAATTACCTTTCTTACATGGGATTCTGCTTCACCAGGTAAAACGTTACATGCAGACTAGTCCGCTATTCCTGCCCGGATATGGTACCGGTAACCAAGCACGTCTGTGACGGTCGCTTTACTAACGGAGCTATAACCACAATGCACCGAGAAATCGAATCAGTCAATTTTTGTCCTTGACTAATTCGCCCTCGCAATGCCACTCAGCTCAATAATAGAGCGACTGTCCGAGAAAAGCGTTGGTCGTAGGTGTGAACCCTGTACAAGGATGAGATTTCTTAAATTGATAATTGATATGTAGGGTTTAACGTCCGAAAACCACCATATGATTATGAGAGACGTTGTAGTGGAGGGTTCTGAAAATTTAGACTACCTGGAGTTCTTTAACGTGCACCCAAGTCTGAGCACACGGACCTACAAAATTTCCGCCTCCATCAGAAATGCAGCTGCCGCACGCGGGATTTGATGCCGCGACCTGCGGGTCAGCAGCCGAGTACCTTAACCACTACACAACTGCGGTGGGGCGACGTTTCTTCTACTAAAAGCCTTCCTTACTGAGAAATTCGCATGAATTTCCTCATTGCTTCGTGCGCCAAAAACGGAAAGTTTTCAATTATTCATTTCATAACCCCTCCCCTATGTTACGGGATTCTACAGAACTCATTCAAAATACCGAAGGCATTTACTTATGCTATCACTCACTATCGTGAGATTGGTATTGAAAATCCAAAGCAGTAGTAATGAACGCAGCAACCATGACAGCACACAGTTGTTGCGCAGGGGTCTTAAATTGATACGCTATGAATGCCTGAACCATGAGAAGCATGAGCTGGAAGGGTAGCGCTAGTGGACACGGACGAATGGAAGGCACACTTAACGAAATGACGGAAGCCCTCTAACTACTACTTTTTAATTGAAAATCTTCCTTACATACGTATATCGATTTTTAGCCAGGTGACAATAAGTGGTCTTTTTTCTTTTCATATTCAAACTGCTGTGGTACTATCAGCTTGTACTTCTCTAAAAAGCCAGTTATGCTTTCAAGTGTAACGTGTTCTGTTACTTTGGAGAATGACTTCAAAGCAGAGGTGGGACAACAGTTTCTAAGATAATCTCTTTTCTACCTTTGTGTGCCAGAGTTACGCGTACAACCTTTAGTTCTTTGTGGAAGTGACCATCTTTCTAAATATACTTATAAAAGTGTGCATGGGGAACTAAATTGTTGATGCGACTGCTTTTATCGAATCTACCTTAGTCTCGTCGGGACCAACAGCAGTTTTACTTTCATTGATTTAATAGCTTTACTTTAATAGATGTAATAGCACTTATGGGTCATAAGTATAAAGTATCACGCCAGTTTTCTTTATGAAACTGCTTGCATGAATATTTTTCGTATTAGGTAATTTCTTGCCACAAGTAAAAAAAATTGTAATTAAAATTCTTTGACAATGCTTGATCCTTACCAGCTCGTATTACAGCTTTGTCGGTTAGACTTTTGTGCGGGGGGGGGGGGGCACATGTCTTCTATACAACCAATAATTTCCAATCTCCGTATAATTTTGCAGAGATCCTACATGTTCCGGCACTCGGAGGGCTTCACAGTCACCTGGAAGTATAGAACTTTGCCAAATCGAGGGCCGCCTCCTTTTCAGGAAAAGAAGTGTGCTGGGGTCCAAGCTAGAGTAATGTTATGTTTAGCCATCTACCGACCCTAACCCTTGCCGCTTCCAGCGAGATTCCGCCCTTCCCGTAATTCAAGATGGCCGTTTTCCTTAGGCTAATGTTATGAAATAGGGTTCCGTGTATTATGAAACTGGTTTCCTGTTGTGAGCTATAACGGTGGCAGTTGATACGGGAAGAGCGCGGCTGCGATTACCACTCCCGATTTTCCCTTTGCCACGTCGACGTATGCAACCGACCTGCTCTACGTCGAATTGAAGCGTCTGAATATTGCTTGTGCCAAGGTAAACTGGTATATGTACACTGGTAACGTAACTTCCATTGACGCACAGGTATCAAGTAGTTAGTGGCTCATTGCCACCTTCACTCTAAACGTATCTCAAGGACAACTAACTGCAAGCGAAAAAAATACAATAAAACGTGGCGTCACAACCAGGAGTTGTAGCAATGACGCGCATTTGCGGAACATAGCGCGAAAATGAATCGTTTCTTTATTGCTGATCTTTTGCTTTTGCTAACTACACGCTTTTGCTAACTACACGAATTAATTAGGTCGTTGTGACTCACCACATTCTTGTGTGAGATCAAAGAAAGGTCCACGAGAAAGATTAGGGAAGGAAGCTAGAATAAATGCCATAATAGCGTACACTGTACACGCAATAATTTGCAGACTAAGAAATTATGAAAGAATGCTTCTCGAGCAAAACAGCAGAACATTTGGAAAACTCATGAAGCTCAATCGCGGAAAACCAGTGCAGCGAGACAGCAGCATTGAGAATGCCACTTTGACAACCTTATATAGTACAGTGTTTTATCGCTTAGCGTGCCGCATTCACCGTTCACTAAGTTGAGGGCACGCCGATAGTGTGCCGGCGAATACAGTCTACAGTCAGAGAAGTGGTTAGTTACATACTCTGTGAGCTTGTTTATCTTCCTACAAGTGTCACAAGAATAAGCAACACATTGGAAAAGAAATGATCTGTGGAACGCGTGAACCAAATCACCGCGTAAACGTGAGCGATGCCTCTTTCACCCGATGATGCACTGAACTAAATATAGGCAGGGTACCTGCACATGCCCCAATTAATCGGACGCAACCAACAAATGCCGCATTCAACTGTTTAGCCAAGGGCCAGCTGAGCCACGAAGTATATTTCTAGATTCGTTGGTATATATATCATTACTAATAATTAAAAAGTTCTGTTGAGCTTTTGGTTTCGGTTAGTTGTCCCCTTCTTACCTTGTCGGCCCCACCGTGGTGGTCTTTGGCTAAGGTACTCGGCTGCTGACGCGCAGGTTGTGAGATCGAATCCCGGCTGTGGCGGCTGCGTTTCCGATGCAGGCGGAAATGCTGTAGGCCCGTGTGCTCAAAATTGGGTGGACGTTAAATATCCCCAGATAGTTGAAATCTCCGTAGCCCTCCACTACGGTGTCTCTCATGATAATATGGTGGTTTTGGGACGTGAAACCCCACATATTATTCAATCAATCAATCAATCCCTACGTTGTGGCGCTTCAGTCGTCAATGGCGTTGATGTCTGTGACAGACAGACATGCTTGTGCGGGCAAAATTTAATCTTAAAATCATAAACATAAAACAACAAACAATGCCTTGTCTGATCTGATGCACCAAAGTATTGCTGCATGCTGAATAAAATAAATGAATAGGACAAGTGTCAAAACTTAATTTTAAAGAAAAATAAAGATAGAAAGAAGCAAAAAAAGTTAATTAGAGAGCGCCACCACATGCCGGTGACAATAGGGTTTCGTTGACTCATCTTTCCAGGTCTCACGAACGATATATTTGTCCATGCTTGTGCTCTCTTTTCAATCTAATAATCCACCCTCCCTCGTGAGACATTGCATGACGTATGCTGTAAAGGTTCCCAGCCTTGACAAGGTACTTTTTAGTGGCATCTCTCAGGTGCGTGATGCTGCCGCTGTCTAAACGCATGCTTGCGCAGATGCCCCTGAAGAGAGTTGCGAGAGGATTTTTAAGAACGATAGTATTGTCACGGGGTCGAGACTTGACCGAAGACAGGAGACTTCGTGTTGGGATTTAACTGTTTATTTCGGCGAACCTGTGCCCGGTAAACGGAAAGTCCAATAACAGCAACAGTCGCACAGATAGCAGTCTCGGACTGATAGCGGCGAACGGAGCGTCGGCCTTCGATCAAAAACAACTGACAAGCGGCGAAGCGCGTCGGCATTTATACTCTTGCCATCGAATGTTCTAGCGTTATCGCTGGTGGTGGCGTAGGTTCCAGAACAATCTGTACCGTTCGCACAGTGGGCGTGATCTTATCGAAATGATCTACTACAGTCCGGAACCTTCTCAAAAACTGAAGGCGCGGTGTGCGCTGAGAATCATGTGGTGTTTTAGGACGATAACGAAAACTTGGGAAATGGAACGTGGCATTGCTCCCCTCTCAAAGAAGGCATCGTCCCGATGCTTTAACTAAAG